CTCTCTCTCGCGCTCTCCCTCTCCTTGATTCTCCCACACAGTGAGTGAGGACATTCTCTTCTTGGACCTCACGTTTACTAAACTGTGTGAGTGTCTTGTTTCTGCAACAGTGTTCCAATCTCAAGTTCAGGAACTTGCCCGTCTATCTAGCTTCTTGAGCCACAAGCTGTTTCTGTCTATCAGGAAGCACTGTGCTCTCAGTCTTCTTCACTCTTTCTACTTACCTGCCTGCCTGCTCTTCTGTGTGGGGAATTCCAATCCAAGAACTGAACTTTTCACTGTCTCCCACAACAATACCTCAAGGTTAATGCTTTGTTTCTCTCTACAATTTCAAGCCTTCGCTCTCCCTCTCTCATTGGCCCGCAACCCCCACCACATTAACTTCGTTTCTTTCTTAATCTTGCTACATCTCTGGTTTGAGAGAGAGAGAGAGAGAGAGAGAGAGCATCGTGTGTGTCTGAAGTGCGTCTTTACTTTATGTTTAATTACCTTCAAAAACGTACATTGATGGCCACCACTACTAGTGCTAGTGTTACAATAAATATTATCCTCCTCCACCTCCTCCTCCATCTTCACTTCACTACCACAACCTCCACCCCTCACCACCGACACCTCCTCCACCAACCCTTTATCCCATTAACCCCCTCCATTACACCAACACAGCCTCCCTCCTCGTCTCCTCAACCCCAACCCAAATATCCTTTCACCGCCACCCCCAGCAACAACAACAACAGCAACCACAGTCACCCACAAAAGCCCTTCTTCCCTACCCTCTCTTCACCTCCACCACCTCCTCCTTCCACTCCCACCCTATCAACTTTCCCTGCTAACATCTCCTCCCTCCTTCTCCCCCACCAATCCTCCTCTCCCCACCACAACCTCATTATTGCAATTTCCATCTCCCTCTCCCTCCTTTTCGCTGCCCTCTTAGCCTTATTTTCAGCCTTCTTCATCTATTCTCGCAGAGGAACCCAGCCTTTTAGCCCTCAAAAGGGTTCAAGATCAGAAAATCTCCGCCTTTATCCTCAGAACACTATCCCTTCAGATGGTTCTCCTAAACCTCCGAAGCTCCCACACCGTCCTGGTGTTGTGAGCACAAGCTCAGAGTTCCTTTACTTGGGCACATTAGTGAACTCTCGAGCTGGCATTGATGATCCAGACAAGCTAACTTCATCCAACAATACTGGTCTTAAGATTGGAGTTTCCTCGTCATCTTCTTCACAGTATCAAAAACTTGGGTCTCCTGAGCTGAGACCGTTGCCTCCATTGCCTAGACATAATTACACACCAACTTATAGAAGTGGTGAAGTTCTTGTTAGTTCTAGTAAAGAAGAAGATGAAGTTGATAGAGATACTGACGAGGAAGAAGAGTTCTTTTCACCAAGAGGGTCTTCTGGAAGGAAAGAGACTATTCATGAGAGTCCAGTTCGTGTTGATTCAAGTTCTAGAAGAGAGATTCAAGGGACTCAAGGAGAGGTTTTTGGGTCTAGAAGTTTTAATTCAAGGACTGCTTCATATCCAGAATCGAACTTTTGTTCCCCATCAAAATCTGTGTCCAGCAGTGTGTCTCCAGTATCGAATTCTAGCCTTAGAAGTGGAGAATCTAAGTCTCCTGAAACTATTATTAGTTTTCCTGCTCCGGTTCAGTCCATTAAGCGATCCTCGCCACCCATTTCTTCATCATCATCAGGGAGAGATTCAGGGGAGATGCAGAGTTCTTTGGAGCGAAATCTGGATTTTTCGGGACAGAATGAGCAGGTTCCAGTGAGGATAGAGAGTGCTAGTAAACAATTTGTGCCAGTAAAACTGCCACCACCGCCTCCACCACCACCACCACCTCCACCACCACGGTTTTGGGAGATGCCAATGGGGGTTAGAGCGACTCGGGAAATGAATTTGGGGAGTTCAGGGCCTCCAGTTCTCGTTACGCCTACAAGGTCTGTTTTAGTTCAAAATCATGCAATGCCAGTTTTGGCCAATGAGCAAATGCAAAGCAAAGGTAGTGTTGAGAGGAATGAGGAGAGTATGAAACCAAAATTGAAGCCTTTACATTGGGATAAAGTTAGAGCAAGCTCGGATCGGGCTATGGTGTGGGATCAGATAAAATCTAGCTCTTTTCAGTGAGATACTTAAAAACCTTTTCAGCTTTTTGTTTATTTTTGAAGTTTTATGATTTTGCAGGGAGTTACTTTCTTATTTGTTTGGTTGAGTTGAATGGTTTTGTAAGTTTGTAGAATGTGGTTTCTGTTGCAGGTTGAATGAGGAAATGATTGAGACACTTTTTATGGTGAATAATTCAAATTTTAACGTGAAGGATCACAATGGAAGGCGGCTATCGCTTCCATTGCTGAACCAGGAGAATACAGTTCTTGATCCAAAGAAGTCCCAGAATATTGCAATATTGTTGAGGGCTCTTAATGTGACCATTGAAGAAGTCTGTGAAGCCCTTTTGGAAGGTAAAATCTGACGTAGACGATCTTGCTTTCAATTCTTAAGGATTGTCCACAAAAATGCATGGAAATTGGTAATGTAATAGCTGCCTGCATTATTGGAGTCGATCTAAGTTTAAAATACCTGCTTCACTATCTTTAAACATGTTTGGTTCCTACAGTATTCCTTATCTTTGGCTGCAAATTCCTACCTGTGTTAAAATTTCAAAATCTCTAGGCTTGAGGTTGCCACTTATTAAGGGATTTTTTTGTGGGATCGAAGGTGGTGATGTATCACTTCTCTTTGACCAGCAAACAGTGACAAACCTTTGGTAGCGGTGGTGCTTCTATATGAAAGATTCTTAAATCAAGGTAGTTAAGGGACGCGTTTTAGACAAAAGCTTATGCCTGCCACAATGCAATTTAAATGTTGAATGCTTTTAGCTAATGAACATTGTTTTATTGGTTGGTTAATTATAATTCTATTTGGTCCCTACAGTGCTATATGGATTATCAAAAGTTGAGAAAGAATAGTCTCTTTTTATGACTTGGTGTTTCGTAGTGCAAATGTACTGCCTTTATTCAAAGAGATATCTTATCTTTTCCCATCACAGCATTTCCCATCTTAGGCCAAAAAGCTAATCTTTGTTGAAGATATGTAAAAAAAGCTGCATGATAATGCCTCCCTTTGCTTTCTGAAGAACACTAAGAACTATATGGAGTGAGCGCCGGTGCCCGCACATACATTATTGATGAGAGAGAGCTATGCTGTTACTGAACCGTTCTCTGTTATGAACAGGCAATTCAGATACTCTGGGAACAGAACTTCTTGAGAGTCTATCAAAGATGGCTCCGACTAAAGAAGAAGAATACAAACTAAAAGACTTCAAGGATGAATCACCGTTCAAGCTAGGCCCTGCTGAGAAATTTCTCAAGGAAGTGCTTGATGTTCCTTTTGCATTCAAGAGGGTTGATGCAATGCTTTATATTGCGAGTTTTGATTCAGAAATTGAGTACCTGCGAAGGTCTTTTGAAACACTGGAGGTAAATCTTCATTTGGCTTGTAAATTTTTATGTTCTTTAATTTATATTAACACGTAGTAATATAGCTGATATTGAAAAGCAGGTATACTGTTCTGTTTCATGGTTGTTATAAACCTTCTTACCCTTGTACATGTCAAAATAATTTTTTTATTCACTTCTAATCATGTATTGTGGTGATCAAAAGGGCTCCATCACTAGATCTGCCAAAAATGCCAGAGCACATTTTTTCCGTTCATCATTTCCTGTTGCAGCAATCTTCCAGCTGCTTCTCATTTATCTGTTTCTACAGGCAGCTTGTGAGGAATTGAAGAACAGCAGAATGTTCTTGAAACTTCTAGAAGCAGTGCTTAAGACTGGGAACCGCATGAATGTTGGCACCAATCGCGGCGATGCCCAAGCCTTCAAGCTTGACACACTTCTGAAGCTTGTTGATATTAAAGGCACTGATGGGAAAACCACACTTTTGCATTTTGTTGTTCAGGAAATCATCAGGTCTGAAGGTTCTCGTCTTTGTGGTACAAACCAGGATCAAACAGCTCAGAAAACTCAACAATCAGCATTCCAAGATGAAGTTCAGTTTAGGAAGCTTGGTTTGCAAGTGGTTTCAGGTTTGAGTGGAGAGCTTAGCAATGTAAAGAAATCCGCTGCAATGGATTCAGATGTGCTTAGCAGTGAAGTTGCAAAACTTGCCGCTGGAATGACAAAAATTACAGAAGTTCTGAAACTAAATGAAGAAATTGTGTTGAAGGAGAGTAGCTGGAAGTTCTCAGAGTCGATGAATGGGTTCATGAAGAAGGCAGAGGAAGAAATTTTAAGGCTTCAAGCACAGGAAAAGGCTGCTCTCTCTCTGGTGAAGGAAATAACTGAGTATTTCCATGGGAACTCGGCTAAGGTAGAAGCTCGCCCATTCTGGATTTTTATGGTGGTGAGGGATTTTATTTCCATTCTCGATCATGTATGCAAAGAGGTTGGAAAGATCAATGAAAGAACCATATACAGTTCAGTCCGTCCCATGCCTTTAAATCCAACACTTGCACCAGTTTTTCCAGGACTAGTTGGAAAGCTGCTTCACGATGGTTCTTCTGACGATGAAACTCCACCATCATCTTGATAAGTTTAACTCCGCGTGATTCTGCGGAATCTCACTGGGATGCTTACTTGAAATTGGTGGTGCTGGCAGCAGGCTGTTTGAATTGAGTTTCTGCACCTAGCCATCACCCTCACATATTTTGTATCTAAACATATGCTTACAAGATTTTGGATTTGTCTACTTTGTATGTAACATACCGAAGGGATTATGTCAGGTAATAATGTAGTGAAGTCAGAACAGTAGGATCTATCATGTAAATTAGAAGCTGAAAGTATGGTCAAGTTTTTCACATCATGTCGAGGCTAAATTTTGTTTTTTCGAGTCGAGGAGACTTTCAAGCTCGTGTATGGGATGAAGATTACTTCCAATAGGGTTAAGAAACACAGCATCATTCGCAATGCATGTTCAGACAGCATAAAATTGCTGCATAGAGTGCGTAGCCGGGACCCATAAGAATTTTTGTTCAGATGGTGAAGTCCAACCTTGTGTGGTTTATTATCTGTACAAAGAATTTGTGCATGTGGTTCATTAAGATGCAAATGAATCCAAACATCATTGCTTATTTACGCTCAAGCTATCCAAGCCTACCAAAAAAAGAGCGAGACTGCCGCCATTTTCACCCCCTCTGCTTATTTTCCAGACAACAGGGAGATTTATTTCACGATTTTGCAAGCTGGGAGTTTTCAGAATCCATGCGTTCAAGAACTCGACGTGCTTCTTCTTCCGTAGCTGGAACAACATTCCGAATCCTCAATCCATCTTTAATGGCCTCATGAAGGACAGTGAATGTAAAGCAGAATTTGTTTGATACCTGTTCAAATCATGTGGCATACAAGGAAAAAAAAATGATAAATTAATATGTATTCTAGCCATTTTAGTTCAGAATAGAAAATGAAAAGGAGTTGAAATTACATATTATGTACTAAACCATCCATTCAGTTACATGTTTGCGATTGTGAGCAGTAAATGACTGTTTTCGATAGGTTTACACCACTGAAAAAACATTTAGCGAGAGTTTCTCTTGCACCCATACAAGCTCTTTCATCATCGCTGACTTCCATTTGTTAACACCAAAATTGAGTGTTCCATTTTTATCTAACAGCAAAATGTTTTTTTTACAACAAATAGCAGAACACTCTCAAGTTTCTTTTAATTTTGGTCAAACTGTGGGGAGGAGCGAACTGCGGAACTATAACAAAGAACTTGAGGAATTCAGATACTCACCTCGCTAGACCTTAGCTCAGGCCTTGTAACATGAGCAACAACTTCCACGTTAATCAGAGGTTCAGCTGGGTTCTCGAGTTCTGTGTACAAAATGCAAGACTTCAAGCGAAGGAAATTTCCAACATCCACCTGCATCAGCGAAAGGAATTATGGAATCCCATAAGCTTAAAATATAAAGTTCACAGAATTGCTTGTCCAACTATTCAATCTTCATGGACATGAAAAGCTGAAAGAGGTATACTGAAGCAGCTAATTTGCTGAAATATCTTCCTATTTTAGGAGCTCCTAAATCTAACTTCATCAGCACATATAAACACCGCAAACGCTGATAATGTTCTCCTACAATGCCATGTCCCTGGCCAAAGATAGCTGTAAGAAATCAAAGAAAGTGAAATGCCCTCCAAAGATCCAGGAAATTGAGTCCTAAAACTGTTCCAAAAGGTGGTTGTAAATAGTTGTTCCACATTGTGTGAAAGATATAACTAAGCAGAGGGGTTGGTACTTACAGGTCTGAAGAAATCAACATGATCAACTTCAACAAAGAGTGGTGCTGCACCAGCAAATGCATAAGCATTCGAGAAGGCCAGTTCAAATGCCTTGCGCATCAAAAATCCTCCAAAAATACGACCATGAATGTTCCTTTGCTGTGGCTGACAAATAAAAGTGTTCTCATGACGAGTATCTTGTATAAGAATGCTATCTCTGTCTGCCAATGCTGGCATGTCAATGAAAACCCTCCCTTCAGACAACAATGCATTGAGCCTTTCCATATCCTCATTCTCAGAATCCCTTTTCTTTTCCGCTTTCTTCTTTTTCCTCATCTTGTTTCTTTCTTCAGCCTCTTCCCAAAGCAATTTCTCTTTATCAGTTTCAGGTGAGATCTGGTTAACAAGAGCTGATTTTCCTGTCTTTGTATCACGAGCGACAAATGTGAAATTTGCTACAAGAGCAGCTGCATCTGATGGATTGGTGGCCCCTGATAAACAAGCTCCCATAAAAAACCACTTCCAAGAATTGTACTCAGAGCTTTTTGAAAAAGATAACGAGTAAGAAAACATCAATTGGATTGAACTTGAAAAGCAGCCCGTGATAGCAGTACATCACTAAAAGATGCTATTATTGGAAGGCCATCAATGTTCGTATGAGATTAAATGCAAATTAACTAGACGTTGATTTGTGCTTACTGGCAAGGATGAGATTTTTCTGAGAATATTATTAGGCGCAAGGCAACATATTTAATGCTTACATCGAAGTACTGGGAAGAGCACACTTGTTTTACAGAAATGAAAGATGCCATAATCTAAAATAAAAGGGCAAGCTGCTTTTCCATCCTAAAAGTGCATGGTAAAGGAAAAATGCTTCAATAAAGAGGATATTTTTCAAAGCCAACAAACAAGAAAATCTAGGGTCCCTTCACATAAAGTTCCCCAAACAAAAATCAACCTTTGCAACACAGGGTTAGGAAAAAAAGGGGCAACAATCAACTCAGTAAAAAATTCTGCAGAAGAACTGCTTTTGAAAGTGTGGACAAGTATTTTGGACTTTATGAATTCAATATTAACAAGCAAAACCTACGACCACTTTTAAGCTGCTTCGACTTGCAGTAAACTGTCTTGGCCAGCAGAACATTGCATTGATAGCCTATAATTTGGACCTTAATGCATGGACCTCAAAAAGCAATATGAAAGAACACCAGTTATTTCCCGCTGCAAAGCTTTCATCAGCAGATTGGGTACATTCAGCTCCCACAAGTTCATCCACAAAATATACCTTTCATGCTAGGATTGTAACTCATTTCTAGTCCATCTTCTCTGCTGATAAACACTCGTATCTAAATGAAGTGAAGTATGAAGAGCAGGGACATGCACACAATAAATTATACATGAGATCTAGTAATCTACAATCAAATCACAGCCGAGATTGTAGAGGAAAGAACAAATGAAACACCATTTATTACTAGAGTACCTTCAGTGGGCTGAATCACTTCCATCTGAATCTCCATGGATGACCTCCCAACCCATGTAACAGCACCAACTATAGTCAAATCAGCATCAACAAGGATTGGTTTTTTCAAAACTATCCTATCAACAGAAGCAGTGACCAATAGCAAAGGCCTAGTTGAGCCATCATCATTGCAGCAATGCTGGTCCACAAGTGAAATATTGGTCAAAACAGAAAACCAAATATAAACTCAATAGGCAAAAAGAAATGAAACTCTAGATCATATCAGCTACTGGGAATGGTTCAAACCTATCTCAAACATTACCTATCAAACTTTAACCAAACACAAAATCAAAATCCTTCGTACCTTATAGGAAATGGTTCCAGCAAGAGCATCAAGATCTTCAACCAACTTCCCCATTCTAATCTTATTCCATGGATTCCTATACTGCTCTCTAAGTATAAAATCAGAAGAAAACTTATAACAAATGCTAGTCCTGCTCTTTGATGGACTTTTCGCAACTAATTCAGTCTCTGAAGTCCCAGAATCATGAGGCTCCTCAAAAATCCTTGATCTTGCTTCCCATAAGGCATTAGACACAGGAGAATGGTACATTCCAGGCCACAAACTAATTGGTTTTCTCATAGAAGACCCTGCATCAATCGGCTGTGAGTTCTCCCCTGACACAGCATTTTCCGGGTTTGAATTTTCACTTGAAAAGGCCCTTCTTTGAATGAATTTACTAGAGATTGGATCATGAAATATAACTTTAAAGACGGGTTCTTTGCCAAAATGAGATCTTGAAAGCGAAAAAAAGGAACTTGAACATGAAAACAACCTCGTCTGGCTAGACAACAAAGTACTTGAAGTGGGTTTTAGTTTGTGTAGTGAATTGACCAAGAGGGTATTGGTTTGTCCATTGTTGGATTGATGTTTTTGTTGGTTTCTTGAAAATGGGAAGTGGGTGTTGGTGGTCTCATTGAAGTGGGGTTTTGGTGCTGGAGGCCGATCAAGACAGTAAGTGAACTGTGAAGAAAGGGCTTTGTGGAGTGATGATGATTTAGGGTTAGGTTCAAGGAGTGACTTTCTCAGTGGTCTCATGATTCAAGATTGAGCAGAAGGTTTTGGATTCTTAATTTGGAGTGAATTAAGGAACCATATAGATGGCTGCTTGTACTCAGCAGCTGACTGGATTATCTGAATGCTGGGAGTTTGACCAGATGATTCACCAGGGGAATTTCTTGAAGAATATTTCTAAATATTCAGTTGGAATCTCTTAAGAAGTCCGTGGAAAACCCTTTGTCCTTATATTAGTATCAATTATTAATCCTGTTCGATAAATTTACTCGGCAAATACTCTATTCAATGATAATGCCGTTCGTTTCTTTTGGCTGGTAAATATTTTTTTTTAAATAAATTATTTTTTAATATTTGATTATGTTATAAAAATAACTTAAAAATGAACTTCATTTAATATTTGATTATGTTATAAAAATAACTTAAAAATATAACTTATTAATGTTTTATTTTTTAAAAGTTTATTAAAATAATGAGGAACAAATCTTTAAATAATAATCAAAATGATAGAGATTAAATCTAATAAATGAAAAAAATAAAAGATAATGAAATTAAAATAATAATAATTACAATATTATAAATTATTTCAAATAAAATAAGTAACAATCAAAAGAATGAAGATTAGATTTGATAGATAAACAATTTTAATTAAAAAGTAATAAAATAAAAATAAATAACAATTATAAAAATAAAAATCAAAGTTAATATAAAAATTAAATTAAATAAAATTTTAAGGGATATAATTGAAAACAAAATATATAACAATCAAAAGTTTGAAAGCTAAATTTGATATAATTAATATGTTATTTTAAAATTTTTTATAATTTTTTGAAAGTATTTTTCACTCAAAATAAAAAAAAATACTTTTCTAGAAATCAAGTTAGATTTTTCTTTGTCTGAAAGTAGTTTTCGTTGACTTGTTTTTTTAATGACAAATAAATACATGAAAGTTTATAAAGTAATTTTCAGGAAACTACTTTCCGTGAAATAAACATAACCCTAATCTAAATTTATTTTTAATTTGAACTTAATTGAACTTTAATTTTTTAATGTTTTGCAAATAATCTAAATGAATTAATTTACCTAACTAAACACCGTTTAAATTCTACCAAATCAATTTTTTTTAAAAAAAACTAATATTCTTTTATAAATGAATTAATTTACCTAACTAAACACTGTTTAAATTCTACCAAATCAATTTTTTTAAAAAAACCTAATTATGAGCTAATTTTCAAATTAAATCTAAAACTAAATTTAATAACTATGCTCTCAATATACCTTATCCCTTTTTTATAGAAATGAAAGAGTGTGTTTAGTAATATAATAGCTTTTAAGATTATAATTTGAAAAAATAAAATTAAAAAAATATATAAATTATAGTTTTTTATAAACAAAGTTTCACCAGAAAATTTGTGATGAGACTCCTACAATATCATAAGTGATTGGATTAGAGTAAAACTCAGTTTTGACTACATCTCGCTACATTACCTAAGTTTAACGCTAATTTTCATTAACACTCCTATAAAATTATAAAGTGATTAGATTAGAGCAAAACACAAGTTTGACCGCACAGAGTGTTTGGTTAGCCATGAACCACGTTTTTCAACTTATAGGACCCATAATTTCTGCGTTGCAACCACAAGTTAAGCAAAAGCGAGCGTGACTTGCTTTTTGCTGAACACACACAGATGCACCAACATAATTAAACCGTTGATTTTTTTATTATAGAAAAGTAACCCTATTTTGCTCTTCGCGTGTCTCCTCTCTCATGGTTCTCCTCGCTCTTCTCTCCAATATGCCACAACTTTCTTTCTATTGCTATCGCCTCTCATTCCAAGTTCAAAGACCTCACACGCTCTCTCTTTCTTACATTACCCATCTCCGACCTAAATCTCTGTTCTAAACTAAAACCATATACTAGATATGCTGCTGCTGTCTTCTATTCTTTTCATGATGATGATGCTTACTAACCAAAAACTAAGTTGATTTGCTTCTATTCTTTTCATGGTGATGATGCTTACTAACCAAAAACCAAGTTGATTTGAAATATCCTAAAAATCGTTTAGCGATGATGGAAGATTACTGTCTTCTTGCTAAAAGAAGCATGGTGGATATTTTGCTGGTGAGATATCTAAACCATTAGTTTAAACTAAATTTATGGGCTTGCGTAATATCGTAGACCATAACATTCTTTCTATTGGTAAGAAAACCCGCTCAGGGGATGCAAAGCATGATGGATATACAAATAAAAAAAAAGGACCACTTTGTAAGCAAAAACTAAATATAGGGACTGAAATAGTTTTTTGAAAAATACACGTACTAAAATAAAACTTTTACAAAGCCTCCATTGCAATTCTAAAACTTTAAACAATGGCATGGGTTTGGTGAATGGCATGTTGTGATGAGGATAGAAGGTTTGAGAGAAGTAATGGGGTCAGAATAAATCTACAGGGCGAGCTGAGAATGGCCCCAGTGCGTTCTTTGCCGCTATTACTTTGCTGACCAGCAGTTTCCACTTAGCTTCGTCTTTCTTCGTTTGCTGCTGCATTTTCTCCTTGAAATGCCTATCAACAAGCAATGAGCACATCATTATGATACTGCAGCATATGCTTTCAACTTGTTTACCTTAATTACTGACAAGTCTATGGACATATCAGCTCAAGGCTGTGGCTTCAATCAAGCAAGAAGGATATATAATCTAACCTTCAGCAGAGTGATAAAACTAAAAACACAGAACACATGAGACTGATGGGATTGATTCATCTACTGGTCCATGGTACTGTTTAACAACTACAATGCAGAAACTTGGACTAATCCAGCTCAATCTCATATATTTCCATGCCTTGAAACAATTTCTTAGTATAATAACACATTGGAGGACAAATTTGGACACCCAAATTCCACAATAAATAGCATTGTGGCAAGTATAAATGATTTTTGAACTCCTTATTTGTCCTCTTTTAGTTTCTAATTTTCCCTTTTGTTCAAGTTTCATATTCACTTAAATGGATTTTGAAACCCTGAAAATATAGGCAGAGAGGCAAGATAATACATGGAAGTTCCATTCTTACCTACAAAGCGGGACCTTGCAGCAATCTGGGCCGTTGCACATGCGAGAATGCAGTTCAAGAAGTTGCCACATGCGTTTGCAGTGAACACAGCCCCTGGGAACCCGAGTCTTACAATTAGAGAAATGACGAACCAAGGACTCAAGTCCTTTGCAAGCAGGAAAGTTGCAGGGAACTTGGCTTCCTTTAAGCATTTTGTCACTAGGTCCAATTGTCCTACACCCATCCCTGCATATGTGAAGGAGAGCCTCCATTGCTTCATACAGTTGCAAGTACACTTTTCTCTCTTCTATTTTCCTCAACCTCTCTTGTTTTCTCTGAAAAGAACTGAAACTCAGATTCCATTATGTGAAATTGAACCAAGGAAAAGACTACAGCTTGTACCAGATAATGTAACATTGAATCATATACTAAAAATCATTACTCTGGATATGAATATTGACTTGAGGAAAAGAAAATGAAGGAAATAAGGGTCCAGAAGTCAACAGTAACTGCAAGACCAACCAGTTGCTACAGTAAATCCATGATATCAAGTATCATTAGGACAGCTTCCTTTTCAAATCAAATGGCAATTGGTTTACAAACATTCATTTGACTATCTAGAATAACAGGATTCTCACGCATAATAGGATTTAAGGCTTAAAAAATATGAGACTGGGAGACCTTAGTCAAGATAACCAGGTAGTCATTCCACTGAGGAAACATGTTACTAGATTCAACCATAACCAAGTAGATATTCCACTGAGAAACATGAAGCTCAACTAAACCGTCACTACAGACTAGGATGAAGAACCTTCTCCTGATTGGCATCAGAAGGCATTCCACTGAGAAGCAATTTTTGTGTCTTAGACAACTTGTTCTCAAAGGGACATCCATCATTTACCAGCAGTTAGTGTTAATGGTTCCCAAAAAGCTAAATTTACAGGAGTCCAATTTTAATGCTTAAATTATGCATGAGAAGATTCACTAGTTGCTACTTCCTCACCTTGACGTGGGAGTACAAAAATAAAAGAAACAAAAACCTTGCATGTGCTTGCTTTATAGCTGGTCATCGAAAGTCTAAACATGTGAAAATAACTCTGATTGCATGTAATTCTCAACAGCCTTTAAATGAGTAGCTGCACATTCTATTCATTGTTTGCAACAAAGATCAGGAACTGACTTACCGAATCTGCTTCAACAACAGATTCTACAAGCTCTTGTTCGAGGGCAGGGCTAGCACGCTTCATAACTTTCCAACCTTCAGTTGATGATATAGTTTTCAAGTCCTTCACAACCATACGAACACAAATGAGGGAGAGTCGTGGTGCATTGCAGCTCCTTGCTAACTGAAGCACGTCTATCACATTTTCCTTGGTCAGATAATCCTGCTCCAGAAAGTCTATACAAACTCTTTTCAGTGATGGGATCGAGTATGAGTGTGATAAAACCATCAGATGGAGAACGAACTTCTTCATCTCATCCTCTTCATAGCTGCACTAGCATGTCAAGAATGAATATCTTTATTTAAATCTGACCACCTTGGAATAATGAAAAAAATATACAGAAAACTGAAAGGGAAACATTTTCCTATCCATCCGTTCCAAACAGAAAGTAACAAGAAGCATTTAAAAAGAATACAAAACATTTTCTATTGCACCTGTGATACAGTACCAAAGAAAATCAATGATGATGAACACACGGTAAAAGGATACTCAAATATACCAGGATGAGTACAAAAACCGGATGAACATGTAGACGGCTTCACAAGGTACACCAAGAATTTTGATGTATCTAATACCATCTTTAACTTTTGAACGCTGCAGGATATTCCCTAGCACAGGTGATGAAATACTCTGAAAAAGGAAAAGTTACAGCTGTAAACTTTCAGCCACCCCAATGGCCCTAAATTTTTTAATGATAATAATTCAACCTCAGGTCTTTATTCATGAAAAAGATTACGAATGTTGTTATTTGTACTGCCTTTCTTCGTCTCAATTTAGAAAAGAAAACTTGCAACGACAAATCATTGTATATTCGGTAGGCACCACTATTGAAACACCCCAATGGATGCATCAGATTTAAAGAAAGAAACTTTTTGAAAGCAATCACCCATTTTATCTTTTATATTTAGATATACAAATAAAATTCCTTGAATCAAGCAGTTATCTTTGATGCAAAAAATGATACTTCCAAGCAAGCAGATATGTTCGGGAAGTCTAATTAACTTACCAGAACATTGCAATGAGCTGGAATATATGATTTGCTAACAGTGATAACGTATACATCTGCACCATATGCTTCCTTGAATAGCCTGTCCCATGCATCTTTAATTTCCCGTGGCACAGAGCAAGTCTCTAAAATCCTTTTACAATTGTTGGCTGCTTTAGATGTTTTATTAGGATAAGGTGGTGGCTTGGGGTAATTACAGGTATCAGACACAGAAGATGAGGGAGCTTCCAGCACATTTAAAACATTGGCTGATTTGATCTCCTCTATTTGCATATTGAAACATCCACCAAAAGATTCATTAGCAGCACAGAGCCAAGGAGAATCGACAACTGGTGAAGCCATAAGTTATTTATGGTTTCTGCTGAGTGAAAATAAAGTCTTGCTAGAAGATCTGCAAGAAAATGAAGAAACAAACAAGGTAAGTCTATTTTGCAAGTGAACACCAAAAACAATTTAAATGAAATGTAGAAAGGGTTCATCAGAAGCCAAAAAAGACAATTTAAATGAAATGTAGAAAGGGTTCTTCAGAAGCCAAAAAAGAAAAAAAGGAGGAGGGGGGGGGTGTTATTCAGCATTTACAATAAATATTAATTCTATGGTGGTTGTGTATGAAACTAATCCAAATACATCCAAATTTATAAACTGGCCAAGTGTTGTTTCAGGATATTGTCATACATCTAACAATAGGTCAAGATTACTTCACAGGGAATGCCAAACTAAACAATACACAAACCATAAGTTTAAGGTATTAGCGAAAAGGAAAAGAATCGTCGCAGAAATCCTTCCTAAGGACTCGAAGACCATTCACAAAGTTTCTTGAGATGTAAAATCAGAAATTCTTTGCTTGTAGTTGAGAAGTTTTCTCATTTTTTATTACAATCTATTCTCAGAAATCTTCTTGAGATGTAAAATCAGAAATTCTTTGCTTGTAATTGACAAGTTTCCTCATTATTTATTACAATCTATTCTCAGAAATCTTCATCAATAATCAAGAACATAATAACTGTAAGGTCCCATAAACTTCCACATAGATTAAAGAGACAAAACATGCAAGAAAGAATTGAACTTTTCTATATTCAATATAAACAAGAAAGAATTGAAAAGCATTTGGTCATCTAAGTAGAAAAGAAAATAATAGAATAAAGAATAACATGGTCTAAACATGATTATAAAATAAAGGTAGAAAGAATAAAGAAAGCATCTTGGACTAAATATGATTAAAATAACATAATTCGTTTAATAAAAAGACCATACTTTTTCAATATCCATTCAACTCTCCATAAGCAAACACAAAGCATATCCACCAAAAATAGTTCGAAAAGAACAAAACCCAGATCCAAAAATCCTAGCTTTATGCACTTCAGCTCTCACAAACAGCTGAAAATAAGAAAAAAAGTAAACTAAAAATTGCACTTTCTCGTACACAAAAGAAAATAAATTAAAAAAAAAGCTAAACAGAAAATTCAAACATTATCATCAAAAAGAAAAAAAAAATATCATAACAACAATAAGAAATGAACATCAGAGTCTTCTAGAATTGTTTCTTCATTTTCTTTTCCTGGAATTTTCTCAGCAACCAAACAGAACAAAAAAAAATGTTACCAGTGTCATACCTTTAATGAAACAGCAAATCTTCTCCAAAAAAAAGTGGAAGATTTGTCTGATATACACTATACAACTTGTATATACGCTATCACTGTATCACCGAAGTACCTGCCAAAAACAATTCAGGCCACAATCCGAACTCAATCTTTATAAGTACCTTTTCTTCAAAGGTTTAATCTTCCAGCCAAATGATTCAACAAAAACTTACAAACCTTCACGGAAAAAAGTCAGACAAAGAGGAAGATACGTTCTTGATCATTTGGGGATGAAAGGAATGAAATTTGTTATAAGAAGCCAGTTCTTATACTATACTGAGCTCCAAAAGAGATAAAGCCAGTTCTTATACTATACTGAGCTCCGAAAGAGATAGAGAGAGAGAGAGTTAAAAAGGGCTACAGTGGTGGCGCAGAAAGAAGAGGACTGGGAGGAATAAAGCTGAGAGCATAGAAGAGACGTGTGCCTATAACAAGAGGCACAAATGGTGTGCTAATTTCTTCTTTATTGAAGAATTTGGACAGGCTTTGAGGTTTTTTTTTTTCTTTTAAATTTGGACAGATTTAGTTAAGTTTATATTGGGTTTAACTACATTAACTGAAACTTGTTAAAATAATTGGGTTTAATTAAGTGAATATTTTTTCTGATTTAATTTTAACCTCGACCCATATTAAACTTTATGTTGTGATTCTCTTAAATAATATCATTAAACTAAGCCAAGTTTAGTAACTATATAATAAATTTATTTTAATATAAGAATAGATCAAGTTTTTATTTTTGAGCCTCTTCGTAAATTCAATCTCTTTTTCTTTATAATATTTCTAAAATTAGCTTAATTAGCTTAAGAGGAATGTTAATGAAAATTTTAAGTAATGTATTTGAAGAATTTATTCATGCAATTGAAATCTTAATGAGATGCAATTAAATATAAAGGATAGTTTTGGATGAAATAAGTATATCATTTTCTTAACAACCTTTTATTTTTTTCGAAGATTTTGGAAGGTTCATTAAGATAGCTATTCGAGGAGAGATTATCATTTTGGCATTATTAAATGTGATAATATATAAATATATAGTCATCGTGTATATTTGAAGTATGGAATATTTCAAGCAAGTCCATGGAGAGGGGTGGGGGGTGATTGTTTGAACTGTTAAGCTTCTAAGACCCATAATTTACGACGTCATAATTTAGATTACAGGGCATTAAACACCATCTAGCTTTGTAGGTTATTTTAAAAAATTAACAAAATAGAGATTATCTTATTAGATATGGTTAATGCTATGGATTAATTTATAATTTAATTCACTTGATCAAAATTTTATTTGATTTTTGAAAAAAATAAAAAGTGGTGATTTTATTGTGCAGCTCCATAATATATTATTTGTTACAATAGTTTTTTTTGTTTTTTTTTAATATATATATATATATATATTAATTTCATCCTTCAATATTTAATTTATTAAAAATCTAACTTTATGATTGTTATAACTTGCTTTCTACGTCATTATTTTAGTCTCATGACTTATATTATATATTTAGTGAGTTAACTCAATTGACTCGATTTTTTTTTGTTTATAATTGTCTTTTAATTTTATTATTCAATATTGAATTAATTAAGAATTAAGTTTTATGATTTGTTTTGATTTATTTTTTAAGAAGTTATCCTGATTTCATGACTTAGATCATGAGTTTTGTGAGTTAAATCAGGTAGATTTAGTTTATTTTATTATGTTTTTTTTATATTAATTTTTTTTAATCTCATCATTTAAAGGTAGATTTATTATGAATTAAATTTTATAATTTATTTTAAATTAATTTTTATGAGGTTACTCCAATTTTATGATCCAAGTTGCGAGTATAGCAGGTTAACTTGGGCTAACATAGGTTATTTTTTAATTTACTTTTTATAAGGTCATCTTAGTCTTATAATCTAATTCATGAGTTTGGTGACTTAAACCAAATTGTTTTTTTGTGTGTGTTTTTAATTATTTTTTTAATTTTATCGTCTATTAATATTGAGTTGATTGAAAATCAAGTTTCATAATTTATTTTAATTTACTTTCATTAGGGTTATCCTAGTTTCATATACTAGGTCATAGATTTAGTTAGTTAATTTAGGTTAACTCGAGTTATTTTTTCAATTTATTATTTAAAATTAAATTGGTTGAGAATTGAGTTTTATGATTTATTTCAATTTATTTTATATTGTATTATGATAATCTTATAACCTGGGTTTCAAGGGCAACAAATTAACTTGGGTTGATTTAAGTCAATACAATATATTATTATTTTAATATATTTTTTAAAAGGTTTCATCTTAAAATTTTTATATCAAAATATTTTTTTTTATTCAGATTACCTTTAGATATGTTAAGCTAACCAAATTATATCAGGTTAGTTTTTATATAATTTATTTATTTTATTGAAAAAATACTAATTATATTTATATATTGTTTTTATATTAAAAATAAATTTAATCCAACCCGTGATATAGTATATGATGATTGATCTAGTCTTATATAAATTGGAAAGTTTTTTTGGCAATAGAATGTAATTTAAGGATATCATCATCATGATTAGTGCAACAATTTTAACGTGGAGAAACTGTTGAAAATGTAAACTGAATCTAATCCAATTTTATAAGATCATCCCCTTCCTCTTGGATATGTGTTGATAATCCGATCTCCAAACTCTATTTCTAGCCTTTCATGGATTGTCCAAATCCAAAGTCTGGTGGATAGCTTTTAGTATCGAGTAATGCTAATGTTATCCAAAGTCTCGGATTCATTAGCGAAAACAATTCATTTAATGTAAGAGATTTCTATTTAACGCATACAATTTTTTGAGGGGTGAACTGGAAAAAAAATCAGAAATTAAGCCGTATTCTCGAATTTATGTAAATTGAAGGGGAAAAAAAATGGTAGATGCACTAAAACAATTTAATAAGTTCTATTAGATATTGAATTTAAAACTTAAAACCCTGAGTCATCTTATATTAACTTGACTAACTCGTAACATAAAAAATCAGAAAGCTCAAGACCCAATAATCTAATATCAAAGAATAAAATTGAACAAAGATATTGAAAAAATTTGAAACAACCAAAGTTAAATTTACTAACTCGTGGCCTGGGATAATATCATTAAATAAAAAAGGATAGCAAAAAAAAATAATTAAAATAACAAGGACTAAAATTAAATTTAAAAAAATAAATGAAATAAAACGTGAAGGGGAAAATGAAAAAGGAAATAATAATTAAAAATATAAAGACTAAATTTGGATAAAAAAATAAACGGAATAAAATATTGAGAGAAATTTTTTTAAAAATAAAGTACAAGATAAAAAAACAATTAAAATAATAAGGACCAAAATTTGATAAAAAAATAAATGAAATAATTTTTTTAGGGATAAAATTGAAAAAATGATCAAATTAAGAAAAAAATAAAAAAATAACAATTAAAAGAATGAATACAATATTCGATATAAAAATTAAATAAAATCAAAATTAAATAAAATGAATTTTTTTAAAAGATAAAAAATTTTAAAAAAATTCAAAACAAATAAGAATGAACAAAAAAAAGGGTCACAATCAAATAAATAAATAAATGAAAGGATAACTTTGAATTTTGGCTTAAGTAGTATTGATTCAAGGGAAGGAGAGAAAAAAAAAATTACATTAGTATCGAATTACCACGAATTTCACTACATATGTTATCTTATCAAATGCTATTACTGAATGTTTTGAATGATGAAATAGTCATATCAGATCTAATTTACTTGATTTAATGTGATTATTTGAATCAAAATATTTGGATCTGATATATTTGAGGTATTTAGATCTAATATAATTATCAAATTTAATTTATTTAAAAATGAAATAATTATCAAACTCAAAATAATTAAAATATTTTTTATATATTTAATATAAAATCAAACAAAGCTGCTACGAATACCATCAACATTGAAGCATTAAAAAAAATATGGATGCAAAGCCGGGTTTGCCTTCCTTTTCACATAGGCCTGTGAAGATTTTATACAGGAAATAAAACAGGGCCACGTCCAATCAAACACACGACCATTTGACGACCAGAGGGGGCCAAGAAATCAAAATCCTACACGTTGATGAGTTGACAGAGGACTATATATCTGTTAGAGAGAAGGACAAAGTGGGGCGGCCATTGATGACGCAGAGCTAGCCTAGGATTTAGGTGAGAGGGACAGGGAGGGGTGTTGTTGGAAAGTGAGATTTCTTCATGAAAAAATAATGTGAGGACGAGGCGAGGGAGAGGACTTCTTGTTATATTTTTAAAAAAATTAATTTTTTTATTTTTAATTAATTTTTTTAATTTTTAGATTGATATTAAAAATAAAAAATTATTTTAATTTATTTTTAAAAAATACTTTAAAATACCATTAATATACTTTTAAACACCATTAGCTATTTTAACCGCGCAAATAAAATCAAGATAATTTTAGTCTTGTTTATTTTTGTATTTCTAAAGTATTTTTTTAAAGTTTATTTTTTTTATTTTAAATTAATATTTTTAAATATGTATTAATATTAAATTTAATTTTATTAAAATAAAAAAATATTATTTTAATATATTTATAAATAAAAAATAATTTTAAAACAAATCATAATTACACTCTCAAAATCAACCCTGATGAGAATTATTTGCTTGCGGTCTTCATTGACGATAAGATTATAAAGTGTTTGGACATTTTACCTTGAAAAATGATAGGATTGGTGGAAAAATTTCATTCGTTAAAACTAAAAGTAGCTTTAGAGGCTAAGGATTAAAGTTCGTATAAAGTTAGCCCACTAATTGATATTTTCTTATTAGTCCTCATTTTGTACTTCGGGGCAGTAATTTTTTTAAATTAATTTTTTTTTCCTGTTTTAGATTATTTTTTTTAAAAATTTTTATATTATTTTAATATATTAATATTAAAAATAAAAAAAATATTTTAATATATTTTTAAATAAAAAATACCTTAAAAAATAACAATTAATATAATAACAAAAAATACTCCATTATTAATCTCAAGAGTATGTAATATCTCATTAGACTTTAAATTTGCTTGGTAAGGGTTATTAAATTGAGTCTCATAAATTTTAAGATTTTATATAATTATTAATTTAAAAATTTATAAAATTAATAAAAATATAAAATATATACAACCTTCCAACTTAAAAAATATATATACTCTATTATTTGATTGATTAAATGATGTAACCCGACAATGATATAGATTATTTAAATAAGTTATGGAAGACTACGTAAACGAATTTCAATCAGGAATGTGACCGCAATGTTCATTGAATTTGAATCA